GCACCATGTCAGGTCTCTACCTCCCCTCGTTCTCTACGAACTTGGTGAGTGGAGCGGACCTACAGGATAGGGGGGTTGACCAGTTCACTCCTGCGAGTCAGCGGGTGACCCACTGCACGTGTGCTCGGATAGGCCGACACTTGGCCACGTTCACCCCTCGGCCAAGGTCGAGCCTGTACACCCTTACTACTGAGTCTCCTCCGGCTGCTGAGTCTAGTCAGGTAGCTGCGTCGAGTCAGGTGTTTGCTGCAGTGTCCAGGTCTGGTCCTTAGTCTGCTCCCTGCTCGTGTCGTCTCCTGTCCCACCAAACTCTCCTTTTGCACCACCGCCTTGGTCACCCCTCCCTGCCTCGTCTCCGAGGCATGGTCTCCCGTGTCCTTGTCTCTGGTCTCCCGCGGTCTCTCCCTCCCCTACCTTTGGGGCCTGGCCCTACCTGCGTCCCCTGCGTCGAGGGGCGACAGCGCGCCGCCCCTCACTCCACCGAGTTTCCTCCGACAGAGGCTCCGCTACAGACTCTCCACATGGACGTGTGGGGCCCCGCCCGCGTCCGTGGATAGGGGCACGAGCGTTACTTCCTGTTGGTGGTTGACGACTACTTGTGTTACACCACAGTCTTCCCCTTGCGCAGCAAGGGTGACGTCACTGAGGTGTTGATCGACTGGATCCGCGCAGCTCGTCTCCAGCTCAGGGAGAGTTTCGGCTCGGACTTTCGTGTTCTGTGTCTGCACTCTGACAGAGGCGGGGAGTTTTCCTCTGCCCGTCTGGGAGCCTTCTATCGTGCACAGGGCATCCGCCAGACCTTCACGCTTCCGGCCTCTCCACAGCAAAATGGGATTGCTGAGCGCCGCATTGGCATGGTCATGGACGTCGCTCGTACGTCCATGATGCATGCGGCTGCCCCCCATTTTTTGTGGCCGTTTGCGGTTCAGTACGCAGCACATCAGCTCAACCTTCAGCCCCGGGTCTCCTTGCCAGAGACCTCCCCCTCCTTGCAGTGGACGGAGAAGGTTGGCGATGCGTCTGCGTTTCGGGTCTAGGGATCTCGGGCGTTTGTCTGCGACTTGTCTGCGGACAAGCTGTCCCCCCGTGCTGTTCCCTGCGTCTTCCTTGGCTTCCCCCCTGACGCGCCTGGTTGGCAGTTTTACCACCCAGCCTCTCGCCGTATTCTGTCCTCCCAGGACGTCACCTTTGACGAGTCGGTACCTTACTACCGTCTCTTCCCCTACCGCACTGCGCCCCTTCCCCCGCCCCCGCTCTTCCTTGCGCCAGGTCCTCCCCCGGTAGACCCCCTCCCCCCTCAGGGTCCTGCCCCGTCAGGTGTGTCCCGGGTAGACGCAGTCGAGCCTGTCGAGGTAGCTGTTGACTCTGGTGCTATTAGAGCTGCTGAGCATGCGGGTGCCGGGTCTGGTGGTGCTGAGTCTGGGGGTGCTGAGCCTGGGGGTGCTGAGTCTGGAGGTGCTGAGCCTGGGGGTGCTGAGTCAGGGGGTGCTGAGCCTGGGGGTGCGGAGCCTGTGGGTGCGGAGCCTTGGGGCGCTGGGTCTGCTCGTGTGGCCGCTGACGGTGCTTCGTCGAGGCGGGAGCCACTCTCTCCAAAGGAGCTACGCGAGTGGTTTGGCCAGCGCTGGAGCCGTGCTGCTGGAGCTGGAGGTACTACTGTTGCTGTTGGTCCCGGAGGTGCTCGTACTAGAGCTGGTTGGACTGGGGGTGCTGCTGGGGCTGCTGGAGTTGGTCCTGCTGGAGCTGCTGGCAGTACTAGAGCTGCCGGTCCTGCTGGAGCTGGTGCTACTGGAGCTGCTGGAGCTGGAGCTGCTAGGGGTGTTGGCGCTGGTGTTTCTGCTGGCGCTGGTGCGTCTGAGGGTGCTGGAGTTGGCGATGTTGGAGCTGGAGGTGCTGCTGGCGCTGGTGCTGCCGCTGGGGGTACTTGTGCTGTCCTTGCTGGTTCTGGAGGAGCTGCGCGGCCGACGCCGTACTTCGTTCCGCTCCTTGAGCAGGTTCTTGGTCTCCCGCCCTCTACTGGTCCTGCTCCTCCCTTAGAGTGTCCGCAGCCTGTCCAGTCGTAGTCATAGTTACAGCCCGCCTCCCCCCTACCTGCTCCTTCTCCCTATTGGAGGTCTTGCTGAGCGTCGTAAGCCTGCGTCTCGTCCTGCGTCGCCTGTTCGTGCTGCTCGCGCTAGTCGTCGTGCTCCGCGTCCGCATCCTCCTGCAGTCCCAGGCACACACCGGATGGCAATGCGTCCTTCCACTGCTCCTCTGCGTGTCCCGTTGCCGTCTCCTCTGGAGTCCTCTCTTCCTGTTCTTGCTGACCCTGAGTCCGACTCTCTTCGTGCTGCCACTCCTACTTTCACGCGTCTCTTGTTGACACTGACCCTTACTTTGAGTCCACTCCTGCGTCTGCCTTGGTTGCTGAGCTAGTCGACTTCGCTGCTCGCTGTCGTCTAGACTACGCCACTAGTCTCGTTGCTGAGTCTCAGTCTGTCTGTCCTCAGTCCGTCGGGGGTGAGTGTGCTCTTAGCACGGACGTCCTTGAGGACAGGCAGGAGGAGTTCCAGTGTTTTGCTGCTGCTTTGCCTCATCTCGTGTCCACGCTGATTGCCCCTGAGGGAGACCCGGATGCACCAGACATCCCGACTCCTCGATCGTACGCTGAGGCGATCAAGGGTCCCTACTCCTCTCAGTGGCAGTCAGCCATGGACGCAGAGATGGCTTCGTGGAAGTCCACAGGCACCTATGTCGACGAGGTTCTTCCACCTGGGGCGAACATCGTCAGTGGCATGTGGATTTTCAGGGTGAAGCGGCCGTCGGGTTCTCCGCCTGTCTTCATGGCGCGTTACGTGGCTCAAGGCTTCAGTCAGCGGCAGGGAGTTGACCACTTTCAGACCTTCTCTCCCACCCCGAAGATGACCACTCTTCGGGTGCTGCTGCACATAGCCGCTCAGCGCGACTACGAGCTTCACTCTCTTGACTTCAGCACAGCTTTCCTGCAGGGCAGCCTGCACGAGGAGATCTGGCTGCGCCGCCCACCTGGCTTCACTGGGTCGTTTCCCCCTGGTACCCAGTAGAGCCTTCGGCGGCCAGTCTACGGTCTCCGCCAGGTGCCCCGTGAGTGGCACGACACACTGAGGACTACACGTGCGACTCTTGGGTTTGCTCCTTCTACAGCCGACCCGTCGCTGTTTCTGCGCACCGACACCTCTTTGCCGCCGTTCTACATCCTCGTGTACGTCGACGACTTGGTCTTTGCCACAGCTGACCCTGCTGGACTCGCCCACGTGAAGTCCGAGCTGCAGAAGAGACACACGTGCACAGACCTGGGTGAACTGCGCAGCTACCTTGGCTTGCAGATCACCTGGGACAGAGCACAGCGCACCATTACCCTGACTCAGTCACACATGGTGCAGCAGGTCCTTCAGCGCTTCGACTTCACGTACTCCTCGCCTCAGGCCACTCCTCTGTCTACTCGTCACTCGCTCTCAGCTCTGCCTTTGGATGAGTCCGTAGAGTCGAGTGGCACGTACCCAGAGCTTGTTGGCTGCCTCATGTACCTGATGACCTGCACACGACCTGACCTTGCATACCCTCTTAGCATCTTGGCACGCTATGTTGCTCCTGGGAGACACCGACCAGAGCACATGGCTACAGCGAAGAGGGTGTTGCACTACTTGTGCAGTACGTCGGGCATGGGGCTAGTGCTTAGAGGGCGACGTCGAGTGGTCCTCAGACGTCACACAGACGCTTCTTGGGCTGACGACCAGGCTACGCAGCGGTCGTCATAGGGTTACACCTTCAGCCTTGGCTCCGGCTCTGTTACGTGGCCTCTGAGGCCAACACTGCTGATATCTTTACCAAGGCACTTCCGCCTGGTGATCATCAGCGCTTCTGCACTATGCTAGGTTTTGTGCCTACTTGGCCTCACTTGCTCACTTCTTGACCTTGCTTGTACTGTGATCTTTCTATACCTGCACTTGCCTGTTTACCTTTATATATGATCTTGTATGTGAACTGACCTTGTGGCCTTGCTCTTGTGCTCGGATTGTGTGGTGACGTTGTGATCCACCCTGAGCTTGCTTTGCTTTGCTTGACTGGTCTTGTGACCTCTTGTTCTCCCCCACTTTGCCTATGGGGGTGTGTCAAACTCTTATGCTATAGTCTGTGTAGGCTGTAGTGGGGTAGACAATATGGGGTACAACACTTCTAGGTTTTCCTACTTGTACCCACCTGCTTGCTAGTTCATTCATTCCTCATTTCTTCACATGTCTTACCCAAGAAGATATGGTAGTGTGGCACTGAAAGGGAGGTTCGACGCAACATCAATGACAGTATGTATACGACAACGTGGATGAAACCACTCGATAAGGCATAGTACACCTGTTCTCCGATATTTCCACACCCTTTATCTTCACGACCTGGGGTACTTACCCTCGAAAAAACCGATTTCGAAGGTAGTTAGCAACGCTCGAAGAATTTTCAGGGTTAATGTAACACAATCTCAATGTGAGCTTAACGCAGGAACAATCTGGCACTGGAATTTTCCCCGCTCATTTTCGTACAAAGTTTGAGTTTCGAAAGGCATTGACTTGGTGGTTATTTCCTGATAGACCCGCAATGTCATGGCGTCCGTCTCATCAAACCTTCAACCATGTAGGGTGTCTGGGAAGAATCAAAGTTCAGGGTTGCAATGGAGGCAGAGGAGATGAGATGGGTGAGAGGGGAGGGAGAGGGAAGCAGGCGAGTTACTCAATCAAACGTGGGTGGTGAGAGCGAGATCAAAGCGGGGTGAGATGATTGGAGCACGTGGTGGACAAGACTAGCTGCTTGCATGCAGATCTATGGCTTACTGCGGAGGCAGAGGCAATGGAGTTAGAGGAGATGAGATGGGTGAGAGGGGAGGGAGAGGGAAGCAAGCGCGTTACTCAATCAAACGTGGGTGGTGAGAGCGAGATCAAAGCGGGGTGAGATGATTGGAGCACGTGGTGGACAAGACTAGCTGCTTGCATGCAGATCTATGGCTTACTGCGGCGCACTGTGCGCACAGTGCCAAGGTTGCAGAATCACATCTCACGCAATTATTCACACTCGCTGTGCGTCCGTCTCACTTCCCAAACAGCAGCACTGTGCGAACCTTCCATGAAGCACACGTTGGCTGTGAGTAGCACTGCACGCCGCACCGACCCCCCTCCCATGTTGCCCTGCCCACGCCCCTTGTCATCACGCTCACCCTCCTCGCCCTCCCCCTTCCCCTCCCCCACACCCTTTCCCCTGCCCTCCCCCTTGCCCTCACCCCTGCCCTCCTGCCTGCCTCCCCCCACCTGGAGCTGCGCCATCACCACAGCTCCGCCCCCATTCACCTCATCCCCCTCCCCCGCCTCCCCTCCTTCCCGCTCCTCGTCCCCCCCAGCACAGAGCACGCGTGCGCCATGGCTGTAGATGCCATAGGGCAGGGCGATGCCGTTGGCATGGCTGGCGCGCGCACAGGAGAAGGGCCACGCGCCCTCCGCCACCTTGGCTGGGAAGTCCCCCCGCCGGTTGAACTGCTCGTGTTGTGCAGGGATGGAGCGGAGGAGAGAGTGAGAGTGAAGGAGAGGGGGTGGAGAGAGAGGGGTGAGGGGAAGGAGATGGGTGGATAGCCATGCGTGGAGAGAGAGGGGTGAGGGGAAGGAGATGGGTGGATAGCCATGCGTGGAGAGAGAGGGATGAGGGGAAGGAGATGGGTGGATAGCCATGCGTGGAGAGAGAGGGGTGAGGGGAAGGAGATGGGTGGATAGCCATGCGTGGAGAGAGAGGGGTGAGGGGAAGGAGATGGGTGGATAGCCATGCGTGGAGAGAGAGGGGTGAGGGGAAGGAGATGGGTGGATAGCCATGCGTGGAGAGAGAGGGGTGAGGGGAAGGAGATGGGTGGATAGCCATGCGTGGAGAGAGAGGGGTGAGGGGAAGGAGATGGGTGGATAGCCATGCGTGGAGAGAGAGGGGTGAGGGGAAGGAGATGGGTGGATAGCCATGCGTGGAGAGAGAGGGGTGAGGGGAAGGAGATGGGTGGATAGCCATGCGTGGGGAGAGAGGGGTGAGGGGAAGGAGATGGGTGGATAGCCATGCGTGGAGAGAGAGGGGTGAGGGGAAGGAGATGGGTGGATAGCCATGCGTGGAGAGAGAGGGGTGAGGGGAAGGAGATGGGTGGATAGCCATGCGTTGAGAGAGAGGGGTGAGGGGAAGGAGATGAGTGGATAGCCATGCGTGAAGAGAGGGGTGAGGGGAAGGAGATGGGTGGATAGCCATGCGTGGAGAGAGAGGGGTGAGGGGAAGGAGATGGGTGGATAGCCATGCGTGGAGAGAGAGGGGTGAGGGGAAGGAGATGGGTGGATAGCCATGCGTGGAGAGAGAGGGGTGAGGGGAAGGAGATGGGTGGATAGCCATGCGTTAAGAGAGAGGGGTGAGGGGAAGGAGATGGGTGGATAGCCATGCGTGGAGAGAGAGGGGTGAGGGGAAGGAGATGGGTGCATAGCCATGCGCCCTCGCCATCTTGCTTGGTAAGTCCCCCCACCGCTTGAACTGCTCGTGCTGTGCGGGAGGAGACAGCGAGAGGGTAAGCTGGAAGGAGCGGGGGTGGAGAGCACGGGAAATGTTCCAGAGGTGAGGAGGTGGAGGGCAAGCACGCACGGGCAAGCACGGGCAAGCACGGGCAAGCACGGGCAAGCACGGGCAAGCACGGGCAAGCACGGGCAAGCACTGGCAAGCACGGGCAAGCACGGGCAAGCACGGAGCAAGCACGGGCAAGCACGGGCAAGCACGGGCAAGCACGGGCAACCACGGGCAACCACGGAGCAAGCACGGGCAAGCACGGGCAAGCACGGGCAAGCACGGGCAAGCACGGGCAAGCACGGGCAAGCACGGGCGAGCACGGGCGAGCACGGGCAAGCACGGGCAAGCACAGGCAAGCACGGGCAAGCACGGGCAAGCACGGACAAGCACGGGCAAGCACGGGCAAGCACGGGCAAGCGCGGGCAAGCGCGGGCAAGCACGGGCAAGCACGGGCGAGCACGGGCGAGCACGGGCAAGCACGGGCGAGCACGGGCAAGCACGGGCAAGCACGGGCAAGCACGGGCAAGAACGGGCAAGCACGGGCAAGCGCGGGCAAGCACGGGCGAGCGCGGGCAAGCACGGGCAAGCACGGGCAAGCACGGGCAAGCACGGGCAAGCACGGGCAAGCACGGGCAAGCACGGGCAAGCACGGGCAAGCACGGGCCAGCACGGGCAAGCACGGGCAAGCACGGGCAAGCACGGGCAAGCGCGGGAAAGCACGGGCAAGCACGGGCAAGCACGGGCAAGCAGAAGCAAGCAGGTGCAAGCAAGGGCAAGCAGGAGCAAGCACGGTCAAGCACGGGCAAGCACGGGCAAGCACGGGCAAGCACGGGCAAGCACGGGCAAGCACGGGCAAGCACGGGCAAGCACGGGCAAGCACGGAGCAAGCACGGGCAAGCACGAGCAAGCACGGGCAAGCACGGGCAAGCACGGGCAAGCACGGAGCAAGCACCGGCAAGCACGGGCAAGCACGGGCAAGCACGGGCAAGCACGGGCAAGCACCGGCGAGCACGGGCGAGCACGGGCAGGCACGGGCAAGCACGGGCAAGGACGGGCAAGCACGGGCCAGCACGGGCAAGCACGGGCAAGCACGGGCAAGCGCGGGAAAGCACGGGCAAGCACGGGCAAGCACGGGCAAGCAGGGGCAAGCACGGGCAAGCAGAAGCAAGCAGGGGCAAGCAGGGGCAAGCAGGGGCAAGCAAGGGCAAGCACGGGCAAGCACGGGCAAGCACGGGCAAGCAGGGGCAAGCACGGGCAAGCAGAAGCAAGCAGGGGCAAGCAGGGGCAAGCAGGGGCAAGCAAGGGCAAGCACGGGCAAGCACGGGCAAGCACGGGCAAGCACGGGCAAGCACGGGCAAGCACGGGCAAGCACGGGCAAGCACGGGCAAGCACGGGCGAGCACGGGCGAGCACGGGCAAGCACGGGCAAGCACGGGCAAGCACGGGCAAGCACGGGCAAGCGCGGGCAAGCGCGGGCAAGCGAGGGCAAGCACGGGCAAGCACGGGCAAGCACGGGCAAGCACGGGCATGCACGGGCAAGCACGGGCAAGCACGGGCAAGCACGGGCAAGCACGGGCAAGCTCAGGCAAGCACAGGAAAGCACGGGCAAGCACGGGCAAGCACGGGCAAGCAGGGGCAAGCACGGGCAAGCAGGGGCAAGCACGGGCAAGCAGGGGCAAGCAGGGGCAAGCACGGGCAAGCACGGGCAAGCACGGGCAAGCACGGGCAAGCACGGGCAACCACGGGCAAGCACAGGCAAGCACGGGCGAGCACGGGCGAGCACGGGCAAGCACGAGCAAGCACGGGCAAGCACGGGCAAGCACGGGCAAGCACGGGCAAGCGCGGGCAAGCGCGGGCAAGCGCGGGCAAGCGCGGGCAAGCGGGGGCAAGCACGGGCAAGCACGGGCAAGCACGGGCGAGCACGGGCGAGCACGGGCAAGCACGGGCAAGCACGGGCAAGCACGGGCAAGCACGGGCAAGCACGGGCAAGCACGGGGAGCCCCATGGTGGGCGAGTCGACTTTCGCGTGGCCGTCCGGATGCTCGTACGCGATAAGAGAATCTTAGAGGAATGAAAGAGAGCACACAGAGAGCACACGTTATAAAACTGTACTTAGAAATTTCCGCAAGCCATTTGGAGTCTCGAGGGAGCTTTCACCATCACACCCGTTCAAGGATTGCAATTTGCAAGTTACGCACCCTACCCCATTGCCTCCCCCCCCAGCCAAACCCCTCCCATGTTGCAAATTGGGGGGTAATTGAAATTGGCGAGGGTGCAGGCAGATCAGCTCGCAACATTCCCAACAACTGACATGCCACAAGTCCTACGAGTCGCACACCAGCCTGCATCATGTGCACCACGCGTAAACCCCTTTCTTCAGGGCTTGTGGGGCCACTCTCTGCCAATGTCGTAGCTCGATTTCTCCTTCTCGCGGCTCTCCCGCTCGCAGCCGCCGGATACTCCGTTCCCAGCGCCGCCAACCGCGCACTGCCGCCACGCCAACTTGGAGGTGCCTGGCGTCAAACCAAACAACACCCGTCTCGCCTGCCTCGACTCCGAGTTGTCAAATTATATGCATTTTATATATGTGTAGGCTGTAGTGGGGTAGCCAATATGGGGTACAACCCCTTTTAGGGTTTCATACTTGTACCCAACTCTTTCAGAGTTGATTCATTCCTGCTGCTAGATTCTAACATGGTATCAGACCACTAGGTCCGTAGGACCGTTTTTTTTTTTCGGGCCCACCTATCGTTGCGGTTGCCGCGCTACCCCACGTGTTGTCCTGCCTGCCTTGCCTTGTGACGTGCTGCGCTGCGCGCGCCGTCCTGCAGCCCTCGCGCTGCCTACTGCTGCCCTAGGCCAGCGCGCCGCCCCTGCAGGCTTGTAAGGCCCGCGCGCCGCCCCTGTAGGCCCGTCAGGCCAGAGCGCCGCCCCGCCAGGTCGCTGACGCGTCAGGCCAGGTCGCCGCCCCGCGCGTCGCGCTGCAGCCCCGCGCGTCACGTCCGCTGCCCGCGCGTCGCGCTGCAGCCCTGCGCGTCGCGCCCGCTGCCCGCGCGTCGCGCTGCAGCTCCGCACGTCACGTTCGCTGCCTGCGCATCGCGCTGCAGCCCCGCGCGCCGCGCACGCAGCTCGCACAGCGCGCTGCAGCCTCGCGCGCCGCGGCTACCCCTGTTCGTCGCGGCTGCCCCTGGACGCCGCCCCTGCCTGACTGCCACCGTCGCTCCTGCAGCAGCTGCCACGGAGAGCCCTGCCACAGTCGCGGCCCTGCCCTGCAGCAGCTGCCGCGGAGCCTTTTGCCGCCGTCGCAGCCCTGCCTTGCAGCAGCTGTCGCGAAGCCTCCTGCCGCGGTCGCGACCCTGCCCTACAGCAGCTGCCGCGGAGCCTCCTGCCGCAGTCGCGGCCCCGCCATGCAGCAGCTGCCGCGGAGCCTTCTGCCGCCGTTGCGGCCCCGCCCTGCAACTGTCACGGCCCCGCTCTGCAGAAGCTGTCGCGGACCTGCCCTACCGCCGACGTGGCCCTGCTCTGCCGCAGCTGTCGCGGCCCTCCCATCGCCGCCGTCGTGCGCCTGCCCTTCCTGCCACTAGTGAGCACCTGCCTTGTTCGCGCACTGCCGCGCCATCTGCCTACCTGCCTGCCTGCCACGCCTGCCTGCCTGCCGCGCCTGCCCTGCCTTTGCTGCCACTGCTGCTACTGCTGCTCCTTCTGTTACTATTGCTAGGCTCTTACTGCTGCTGCTACTGCTACTACTGCTACTTCTGCTACTCGCGGTGGCCAGATGCAGCTCCAGCGACGTCCGCGTGAGTCTCTCACGCCCCAGCAGCTTCGTGAGTGGTACGCTAGTTGGGGTTGTGGCGGTAGTCGTCGTGGCTGCCGCCCTGGAGCTGGTCAGTCGGGAGCGTCTGGCAGTGGCCAGCTGTAGCTGCAGCGGCGTCCCCGCGAGACACTTATGCCCCAGCAGCTTCGTAAGTGGTACGCTCGGAGTAGAGGGTCTTTGAGTACCGTTCGCTGCCCGTACGTCATTCGCACAGGTGATCGGGCTGATCAGGCTTGCGGGACGCTTGGTCACACACGGTCGCGCTGCTTCGCCCGTCTGAGCGACGCCTGGCGTACCGAGTTTGGCGACGAGGCTGAGCTCCCCACCTGGCTAGAGCTGCTTGGACAGAGGGTAGATATCTTTGCTCTTGACTATGATGCTATTCTCACTGCCATGTATGCATTGCCTACTACTGCTGAGCGCGCCTGTTACCTGTGCGTACCACCTGACCCAGGTATAGAGCCTGCTGCTCTAGGTGCTGGTGAGGCTGCTGCTCTAGGTGCTAGTGCGTCTCCTGCTCTAGGTGCTGGTGAGGCTACTGCTCCAGGTGCTGGTGAGTCTGTTCTCTCTGGTACTGCGCCTGCTGAGGCCTTGTACACCTTCACACTTGACTCCGATGCTTCTCGCTCCTTCTTTCGCGATAGCACCACCCTCATGCCGCTCAGACGGCCAGTTGCAGTCTCCCTGGCAGACCCCTCTAGGGGTCCAGTCCGTGCGACCTCCACCACTGTCCTCCCTTGTCTTGCTGTCCCGTCCGGCACACTGTCGGTTCTTTACCTCCCCTCGCTCTCTAACAACTTGGTGGCTGCTTCTGCGCTCCAGGATGCGGGTGTTCACCAGTTCACCCCTGCCTACAAGCGTGTGACACACTGCACGTGAGCTCAGACGGGTCGTCACCTGGCTACCTTCACTCGGCAGCCGGGGTCGGGCCTGTACAGATTGACCACTGAGTCCCCTCATGTAGCTGCGTCTGCGTCTGCGTCAGGTCAGCTAGTGGCCCCCTGCTCGTGTCGCGCCTTGTTGCACCAGACCTTCCTTTGGCACCACCACCTTGGTCACCCCTCGGTGCAGCGCCTTCGTAGGATGCACCGCCGTGTCCTTGTCTCTGGTCTTC